CCGTGTAACATCATGTCGCCGGCCGACTCGGCACTTGAGCGCCGGTCGACTCGCCACTCTGCGCCGTCCGACTTGCCACTCTGCGCCGTCCGACTCACCGCGCTGCGCCGGCCGACTCGCCACTTCAGCGCCGGCCGACTCGCAACATCGCCGTCCGACTCACGCCGTCCGACTCGCACCATGGCCTGAAGCTGGATCAAAGGGAAGCTTTGGAAGCTTCCCTGCAGTAGACTGAGCCTGCCACTTCTCACCTTCCACCTCTTTCCAGACGGACGCCGAGCCTACCACAAACCCTGTGCCAGGCTACTAGCTGTGGACGACAAGATCCCGCACGCAAAGCGGCTACTGAAGTGTCTTTTGATTTGAAAGGCTTCGAAACAAGCTGAGAGGAACCTCCAAGACGATTTGTGGGAAGATGAGCAGCTTCCACGGCCTTTGCCACGACCCTTGCCGCGACCCTTCCCTTTGAGCTTCTTTTGGTTTGTGGCTGCACCTTTTTCTTGACAGGCTTCTTCTCTGGGTGTTTTTTTTTCTGACAAGGTCACCAGAATGAACAGTTGACAGGGAAAGATTATGAGTGAACATGCGTTGATGGACAGTATTTTTCAGAGTGACTGTTGTGAGCTCACACGAAAAACGTTTGACAATTGAGGAGAACTTAAGAAGCCACAGTTCAAGAACAGATCCGCTTTCCACGGCATGTGTTGAGGGAGGCGGCAACACGATTTCCAGAAGTGAGCATCAAATCTGACCCTGGGCATCCCTGGGCCTTAGAAGATCTCCTTTTTTATTGCTTAAAAGAATGCCAACACAGAAAAGGAAGAGTTGTGACTCTAATCCATATCAATGGTCCCCCCAGCTTCCCTGCCCTCCCCGCCCTCCCCCACTCGCAGCACATGCTGAAACAAGTTGATGCATGAAACAGCATCACATGTCATTGTCATGTTCGATTCATTCGAGGTGTGAAAAGCGTTCAACAACCAGTGCGATATCCAGGTGACACCTTAAATAGTGATAGTGACCATGGTGAAGAACCAGAAAGAATAATCCGGCCATCAATTGAATTAATTGGCTAAGTAGTGCCGGTAGCTCAAACCCTCAATACTTGCAGCTGAGTTTAGTGGTTTACTAGCAATCTGTGCCCCAGCGGGTTTCCTACCGCGCGGTAGGCCGGAGTTCAGATGATCACAGTTACTCCCCCGCAGATTGAACCCCCCAAAACCAGGTTATAGAGGAAAATGGTCTTCCCATGTCTTCCCTGGTTCTTCCTTCTCAGGGTCTAGCTGCTAGTCACTAGTCCTACGGGAGGGTCTGGACGTGTTCTTCTCCCAGCTCCAAGCGAGCGAAACCACGACAGGATGCACCGACGGTACGTGGTGCCCAGGGGGGTGTCCGGTACGTCGCGAGCGTCGGGACGTCGTGGGGCCGAGGTTGACTGGTCTAACCCGAACGACCGAGAGAGTGGTCCAACCTCAGCAGAATCCCTTGGAAGACTTGTTTTCCTCTACCAACAGCCGGTGAGCTCCAATGAACCTGTTAGTCCCAGTGCACAAGAACGATCGAGCACGATCGAACATGTTGAACCACTAAAGATGTGAACGGCAATGACGAAGTGAGAATCTGAGAGCAGTGTTCATGTTTCCATCCAAGCCTTGTCGGAGTAGTATCACTATGGAGGAGATTGAATGATCATGAATAATGCATGATATATGGTTGGACACTGGCTTTGCGTTTTGAAGCTTCATGTTGGATACTCACATAATCTCACATACTCATCGTGTGTGTGTGTGTGCGCGTGTGTTCTCCTCATATGTGCTTGTTGTTGTCCGTTTTCGCACGTTTGTGAGAACTATGTTACCGCTTTGTTTTCCTGTCCAGGACCATGGACCCTGAAAGGTGAAAGCTTTGCTGGTGTCGTGTGTTGGGTCCAAATCTGTGCTGTACGGGGTCAACCCGTTCCAATGATGTTGGGGCTGGTCTTGATCAATGAACCTTGGGCTGGATCTCTCAGCACATCTCCTGAGCAGCATTTTGTGGGGACATTTGTCTGAAAAGAACGATCAGACTGAGTCCTGTCTCCTTTCCATCAAATGTTTTGTGAAATCACATGCCTACTATTCTCCACTAGAGAACCTTGGAACTGTCATCCACAAAATCGACAGCCGGAACCGGCATCTCAAACCCAGAAGCCACGAATCCTGGGACGCTCCAAGGTGAATTCTTTAGGCTTGGACGCAGCTCACTTGGGCAAGCCGCTTGGACTCGGAATGTCGCGAGTGGGCGGGTTTCAAAGATGCCACCACCAAAAGGCACGGCCTCATAAGGGGCCGTGAATCCGTGCGTTTGTGGGGAGAGAATTCAAGGTGAATCTTAGAGAGTATACACTTCCTTAACAAAATACAGCTTCACATGATGCCACACAGCCACTTCCATGTCACCCTGTCCAAATACATCTTGGATGGTCTTGAATACATCTTGAACCAACAATCTCGGGTGCGAAGGCGACAACATCTGGGCGATCAGATGAGCAATTTCTGCTAACAAATGAGGGAGTACAAAGTTCTTGACAAACCATCCAGTCCTTCGCTTGCTACATGCCTGTGGGTCATGGCACCAGGATATCTTGGACATGACATAACCGGAAGATCAAGCACATGGTGGACCAGGGCTCCAGGTATTGACCCATCCATGTCCTATCCGTTGGTTTGGTGCTATTCCAACAGTGGGTTGGGAGTAGCAGTATGGCCTCCTAACACCTTGGCATCCCCCATGGAGAGACCTTGTGGTGACAACACATTCTGCTGTTCCAAAATAACAGGCCTGGTGAGTACACGCTGTCTCAGCCAGGGCGGAAGGACAACCCAAAGTCAGTTGTGCCATGTCTTAGAAGATTTGCTTCAACTTCTCGCTTGGGGGGTGAGGATGTGTTTCACAGACACTGATGCCATGCTTACGCTGGCGGGAATTGACGCTGGCAGGATCAAACCGCAGCTGGGTGAACTCAACATACGTTTTGTAGATGTTGTTATTAGGCCTATAGGATACCAAAAACTCCAAACGGTGAGGCCAATTGGTGTTTTTTTTTGCGTGATTTCCACCTGCAAAAGACCAAGAAACACCTTCAAAACATTTCAAAAGACATCAAACACATACAAGAAGACATTCATGTGGTATATACTGTGCCAGACACATTCAATCACCTCTCCAGGTCATTCTGTGATGATCAGCACTTGACATTTGAGTGCTGCCTCAAAATAGCACCAGCCAATGGCTTCTTGTGCCTTACAGTGCGCTTGCAGAGCGGACATCCGGGGACCTACGGCGAGGTCAGCATGTTAAAGGATCATCAAGGAGCATGACCTGGGTCCAGGCCTTTGTGTTTTACAGCTTCCAAGGGTGATCCACCATTGAAGCCTTCGGTGCATGGCTGACCAATGGCCAGACCAATGGCTGCTGAACATGTGCAACAAACACCGATTCCAATATGGACGGTTCACCCCAAATTCATGTTGGACCTGGACAGACGAGTCTGTTTGATGCTCTCCCCAGCCAAGGTCCACTCATGTCCCGCCGGCTTGCTTGACGATTCGTTCGCACGGCAAGTTCCTTGCGAAATTTGCGAAGTTCCTGGATGTTCGTGGCATAGTCCCTACCGTTGATCCGTTCGTGGATGCCAGTTCCAGGCTCTTGGCATGAAGCCACACTCTTCAGAGTGTGTGTTGCATGGGGTGAATTCTGGTGACTTGGAACCTGCTTGGAACCGGGCTTGTCGCACAACAGGGATGTGTATGGATAGGACAGCTTGGATATGTCCAGGTCAATTCCCTGAGCTCCTGCAGTCCTTGCGACCTTATCTCGCCTCATGTGAAGGTAATTTGTTTGATAAGATTACAGTATAATCGATGTGGATTTGTCATCCATGTCAACTTTTTTTGTCCGTTTGCGGATTAGGAAAATCTCCCGACTTGACTTGATTGGTCCTCATGACCTTTTTTGGGATCAAGATCACTGGTCAACCTTGCGATGGATAGGGAGGCTGGCTTTTGACATGTCAATTCTCCACAATTTCACATCAACCCAGTTCCCACCACTGAAGTACTTGAGCTAAACTTTTGGAAGAACTGCCTCTCAGCTGCTCGCATCGCCCTCCATTCCCGTTCCCACTCAACCTGAGCTCGCTTCGGGAAAGAGACCAGGAGATCTCCCGCACGCCAGGGCCAGGAGATCTCCCGGAGATCAAATGCGCACCCCCATAGTATGACCACCATAGTATGACCACCTGGGCTGGCCATTTTCGGGTTCCCGGAACGTGACGGAGTCCGTGCCCCACAGGTGCGGGGTCGTTTTTTGAAGGCCTAGACTTGCGGCGATGGTGGGAAATCATACGTCCAACAGTCTTGCTGATAGGCAGTCCTCGTTCTACACCTAATAAGATCCTGATACATCATCCCTTTGATTGGATATGCCCATGTTCTGCGCTTGGTCTGTAAGAAGGACTCTTTCCAGCTGAATTCCAGCTGCTTTTGCGTCTCCAGAGTCGTTCAGGCCTTCTATTGCACTCACCTTCGATCCGAGCCCAGTCCCTGGGACGCAATTGGACATTCAGAAAAAGTATAGGGCTCCTGGCCCACATCCTGAAAAGGTAGTTAGACCCCTGGCAATCGAACCTGAGGATGTGGGCCAGGAGTCATAGGGATCCATACAGAACCAGGACCTGTGGCCTTCGAACCCGAGGAGCATTTTCGGCATTGGAATCCCACTCCAGCCCAGTCCAATTCTCCCGAGAAATATACCTGGACCCTCCAGTTACAGTTCCTAGTCCTACCATAGGAAATGGAACGTGAGGTAAGAACCCCTTTGACCCCCACTGGAGAGGAACAGGCCATCGTTTGGGTGGTCCAACACCAAGGTCACTCAAGTTCCAGCTATACATGCCAGATGGGTTGTCCTGGTAGTTGTATCATTGGGTGAAGTTATATCAGTCATAGATATGATGAGATGGTGCACTTGGACTTGGTTTGTTTTTGCTTATTTGTGTTGCAGGTTGATGTGGAAGTCCTGCTGGATGGAAGATATATAGATACAATGTAAAGGAGTCGGTCACACAGTTTTAAACGAGGAATCAGTCTTCAGCAACGTAAACAAACGCTTATGCTCCCTCAGCACCAACCCACCAATTCCATCAAATGGAAGGTTTGCAATGGAAGGTGCTAGCATTGGGCCAGTTGATTCCAGACATTATAAATTACACTCCCTGGAACTAACTAACATTGAAGTGGAACTAACATTATAAGACCACTGCATACAGGGAGTTTGGTAGCATGACCAACTTTTCAGGTCATTAATTGGTTTTGAGACCCATCCTGATTCACCAGAACCCGAGAACTTGTTCCCGGTAAATTCCAATTGGCTCGCAAACCCACAATTGTTTAAGCTCTCAACTCTAAACAATCACTGTCATCATGGCAAAAAGCAAGCACAGCTTGACTTCGAAGTAGTTTGAAGTGCTTGGAGGCCCAGTTGGACCACTTCGTGGTGTTCTTTGGTTCTAGCTGTTGCTCAGGAGAAACCACCACGTAGGAGCGAGCTGGAGGAGTCTGTGAGAACAACGGGATCCTGTCGGAGCGATTCACAAAGTTCCCCAAGCGACTCACGCCACAATCCGAAGCATCACTAAGCAGTCTCCACGATCCGATGGTTTTTCAGACTCCTTTGCCAGACGCGACGCATGGGACTGGCATCTATCTTGCTGTGGTTGAAAAGGTTGATTTCAGGGTCAATGTATAAATAAGAGATAATTAAGAGATAGTAAGAGTATTCATACACACACATATTCCGATATGATTTCCCTTTTGTGGCCTTTTTCTTCCATGGCTTCAAGACGCTCCCAGTAACGAGTGTCAACATGGATTTTGTGTTTTCAACCGGTTTTTTTGAAGAACTCCATCTCCAGATGTGAGGTCAGATGGAGGACCTCCATCTGACCTCAATGTTTAACACCGAGGTATGGACTCTGCAGTGGCCCTGATCACTGCGATGATCTGTGGGCCCTTGGCGTTGTACGCCGCGTTTGGCCCGGCCGGCCCAGGAGGGGTCGCGAGGTGATTCCAGGTCTCAGATGACGGAGTCACCGGTTGCATCAAGAAAGCTGTTTCATTCTTGGGACTGTATGTTATGTTTTTTGAGTCTCAACGGTCACATCAAGCAAAAGCATGTTTAGAGCTCCCGTTCTTCTTGGATGGCACCTTGCTGAGTCTCATCCATCAGGCTTTGTTGCTGAGGTAGGGACTGGGTATTGGCCGGAGTCCAATGCCTTGAAGAAAGGGTCCACGGTGTCACAGAAGGCCAACCATTCTAGTCACGGTCCTGATGTAGGGAAGGTCTGATGTAGTCCTCGGATTCAGGTCTGATGTAGGTTCCTGATAGTTCTTGGACCTCGCATCGGACCCTTGCCTTGGACCTTGCCCTGGCATCGACAGACTTGATGGACCGTTGATGGATCGGCGGCTGGGCCGACATGTCCATGTCCTGCGGAAAAACACACGGATGGGCAACCGCCAAGAAATGACAGTGGACCACTACCCGGCTGATGCTTTTTTCCATTTTCCAATCTGCAAGATGAAGACCTCCATCTGACCTCTTCCAGGTGCCTCCTACTTTGCGTCCTGGACAGAGGAGGAAGAGCCCGGAGGCTCAGGTGCCCGGATATTCTCCATTCCTCAAGGCTTTTCAGTTCTTCCTGCCCAGTTCATCCACTGGTCAAATGCTGGACTACTTTGTCGGTCTTGACATGTCTTCAGTGCATTGGTCTTGTGCATCGCGACTCAAAGGATGGGGCAACCTTTGGAGGATTTGGGGGGCATTGGAATTGTCGTAGCCAAGAAGCCATTTCTGTCTCTGGACCGCTGCTCGAACTCATTTGTGGGTCTTCCAACATACGAATAAGAGTCGAGTACCCTTTGACTCACTGACATGGAAGTGGTATATGGATGTACGCCGTATATGCATGGTCTCTTGGATGACTACTGTCCTTTGCAAACAGTTGGAAATCCCCATGGCTTTCCACTCACATGAACATTCTGGAGTTGGAGTGTACGTAGCAATTCCAGAGAGTTCCATGAAAAGATATCCGTATCCGACTCTACTGTGTCATATTGTTTCATTGTTCTTCTGGACTCCGAAAGGCGTTGGTGCCGACCTAAGTCGAAGTCAAAGTCTGTTTTTTGCCAGACTTTCCAAGACGAAGGCGGTAAATAAGTGCAATTAGTTGTAAACACGCATATAAATATGTATATATATATTATATATATAATAAGCATCGGGGCCATCGGGTTTGCCAGACTTTGTGTTGTGGTGAGCATACATTTGCAGAATACCACGGTAACCATATTGAAACAATTTTTGTTTTTTGGTGGCGGCGGTTGTGCCCACTAACAACACCACGCTCGAGGCTCATGGAATTGGAACGGCTCTACCGTGAGCGAGGCGGGGTGAAGGCATCAACCTTTGAGGAGTTTGGATGAAGTTGGTGAGGAGTTGATGCATCAACTCGTTTTGGATGGACCTTTCTGGTCTCCTTCGCTTTTCTTTCATTCGACCCATTTGCAGGTGATGTTTAAAAATGAGCAAAAGGCACAGCTTGTTGGGCGTGTACACATACGACATGACGCTCATGTCGGGTACTTTTCACGGCTAGCGTCAGCCGTTAGCCGTCCAGGTTATGTTTTCAGACACACCTGACCTATTTACTTACAAAAGGGGTCTGTCAATGTAGGCCTTTTTAATTCAGTCTCATTGATTCTTTGGGTTCAAACTTCAAAGAGTAAAGAGACGCTCAGTTTGGGACCCACATCCACCTAACACATCTGGAAGTAGCACCAAGACCTGGGGGAAGGGATGACACTCCCTGGACCATTTCCGAAGACCCACCTGCAGGTGGTGCCATCCATGTGACCGATGTATTACAAGCACCACCTGATCATATTGGACCCACTGGACTATGAGGAACACCGGTGGAACCAAGCAGTGGAAGTGGAAAGCCCCCTGTTCCAATATTGTAGATCCATGTAGACTCACTTCAGTGGAAAACGGAGTGTAGTTGTAGAGATGGAAGGAAAGAAGATGGAGGATTGTGCCAAGCAACAGAGATATGGTGCAAGGCATGACGACGATTTTGTTGGGGTGAAGACTCACTGGCAAGATGGCAGTATGGTGGACGTACATCAATAATTCATGTCCATGAACGTAATGTATTCCTATTTTCGTGTACCCGTTTGTTTTTTTGTAGTAATTGTAGTGAAATACCATGTAAACACAGTTGACCCTGCTTGAACATCGGGAGCCTTGCCAAAACGGCACAGTGCCAAACTGGGCACAGTGCTCAGAATGGTGTGTTTTGGTGGCGTTTCAACCTCAGGCCGTGGAGAAAGTTTTGTGCTGCCCGAATCTGAGACCCACAGGGGGCCCACTTCCTGGCGTTGCTGGGGCGACATTAGTGTATGGGAGTTCAGCCAGCACACCAAGACAGGATGAAGGATGATGGCATGTTCAGCCCGGATTGGCTGAACCATGAAACCCATACCGTTAGTCTGTGTTTTTAGTACAGTCTGGATCGCTTGAGAATGTGGATCTGAGATCACATCAGAACACGTATTTTCGTGCTTTCCATTCCTTTCCTCGGCAGATCACATTGGAACACGTAGACTCCTAGGTTTCCAGTGGTTTCTGCGGGTTTGCCACGGTTTCCAGAGCCTGTTGGCTCAGGGCTTCGAGGGTGTCCAAGGCTTCCTGCGTTGCCGCGGTTCGGAGGTTTGCGGTTTCAAACTTTGTTTTTCACATGCCCTAGGGCTCCAACCACATCCTCAGGTAGTTGGGTTGGGTTTGGGGTCTAACTACCTTCTCAGGATGTGGTTGGGCACTCCCCCGAACGAACATAGTTGAACTTTGGTTCCTTGCAGGGGCCCCGTCACGTGGATTCCAAGCAACTCCCAAGATGCTTGCGCATCCATAATGCGTGGGGTACCCCACAACACGTGGAAGTTTTAAGTTTAAAGGTGTGAAGTCCGGTCCAAGCATCCCTGGATTTGTTGGGATCTAGGTTCCACTACCAGCACCTAGGACCTCGCTGAATTGAGAGGAGATTTTGGACATGTTTGGACATGTTTCATGAACAACCATTCATTCATTCATTCATTCATTCATTCATTCATTCGTTCAAGAGAGATGAGCAACCAACATAACCAACATTTCTTGGGTCAGCGCCCCGGGCGCTAAGTGCATGCCATCAGCACCACACTCACCACGTATAACTATCGGCATATCGGCAACGGTATCCCAGTTAACTACACATGCAGACTTGTAGACACAATAATTCTTGAATCACAATGACATGTACTGTGGTAAATGCTTTGATAAATACAAATTAATTTTGGTGAACTTTCACGTGTTATGACGTGATTCCTCTTGAACAATCATGGAGTTTTTATACTATTTTATCACCTGGGCCTCAACAGCATTTCCTGTCCCAACACTATATACCTGGGTCATCCAATGGGTGTCCAATGGAGGTCCAGTCTAGCAGTGTAGTGTAGTCTATTGGACACCCAGATAGGATGCTCCTTGGACATTGACTCCAGTATTGACTCCTTTTCCACCACCCCGGCCCTGATCGGTAAATACACCAGTCCCCTCTTTTGCCCTGTTGATCGACGGATGAACCGTCGGTTGACCGACCTGAGGTCCTCATGGCGCTGGTGTCGATGGGCGTATTTTGTCTTTGACATCTTGGTGGCGCCTCGGTGGGTTTGACAATGGAAGACAATCTGGAAACGGCGACAGAATGAGGTCTTCAGTGTTTTTTTCCCAGGTGATCTCAACAAGCCTATAATTATAGACAACTTTAGTAGGACACCAAAACCCCAAATCAGCTGACCTCGCTGCAGTTGACCGCTGATCAACCGCAAAACCTTTTGGGTTAGCATGGCTTGCAATTGGTGATGACTTGATGTGATGGCTTGGTGGTAGTTCCCACTGACATGCTGCACCACTGATGACGCCATGACGCCCCATGGGCCGGAAACCGCAAGTTTTGCAACGCCGGAAACCGCTGCACGGCCGCACAGGCATGACCGTGGACCATGATGCAGGCATCGGATTGACCGCAGACTCGCCAGTGTCCAGGCTGGAAGGCCCATGGAAGGCCAATGGTCTACCAGCACCCCACTCTACAGGTCTCCGCAATGGTGGCTGAAATGATGCAAAAGCCGCAGGTGATGGTGATGTTGGAAGGTGCAGGCTAGGCACCAGAAATTCGGTTGGTGGTGTTCTAACATTCTCTGTCTGACGATTGCCAGGCAAATCAGCACAGCAATCGGGTCAGCGATCGCATCATTCCGCCGGCCTTCTGGGGCCTGACTCGGGGCCCGACTCAGGCGGAGGTGATTCGCCTGGCATCCATACCAACCCTTGCGGCCACGACTGGCAACTCAGAGCACTTTGCTCGTCAACAAAAGAGAAACGTAAGGCCACTGGGAGATGTTGCTTGGAAAATGACTCCTTGAAGTGGAGCACGACCTGAAAAGAAGTCAGTGAAAATGGAGGAATTGGACGTGGCATCCGCTGTGACGAGTTCTTTCTCTCGGCTTTTGGTAGAACCTCCCTTTAGACAAAGGGGGCTAGACTCAAAATGACTCAAACACCTCGCGCTATATCCATTGGGATGGTGATTTGAGGGGTAAGTGCACCCAGACCATCCATGTATGGAATAGTTGCATACTAGCAACTTCCTTATACTGAGTCTCCTGGCTGGACTACCCTACACATCCCTAGTGGATCTCCATTCTTCACACCGCAACGTGAAGGTACATTGAACTTGTCCAGTTCCCTGGATGGTCTGGGCATGTACAACAAAGTACAATATAACTACATACGGTCTGGTTCATTGTGTTCAATGTCCTCACGGATGGGGTAGGTCATTGAACATCCAGTCCCATCGGTCGTGCTGGCGGAACAGACCCCGCAGAGTCCTCCGCGTCACGAACAACGCAGAGTCGACGTCTCCACCGAAGCCGTGTGACGGCGAGGCAGTGAATCGACCGGGGGGGGGGGGGATCCCTTGGGCCCAGGTATTATTGGCGAAGTCTTGCGACCGGAGGGAGAAATGGGAGAAGCTTCTTTGGATCAATGCTTTTTTGAGGGGATGGGGGAGTTTTGGGAGAGCTACACCCATGGGTTGGAGGATTCAAAGGGCTTCCTTCCAAATGCTTCCTGGTCCTAGAACGAAACTGTGAGTGGGTGGTGTCGCACGATGTTCGGAGCTGTCAATCCAACTATATACTGTAACCATTGCAGTTGTTGGGAAGATATGGGAAGATCATATGAGTTCCAAACAACTCTGCACCTGCTTGTGCCAAGCATATGTTGTCTCCTCGTTTCAGCGTCCACAGATACACTGGATATGGGAACATATCATAGAGGGATAGAGATTGGCCATGCTGTTTTGTTTCAACAGCCAGTTGAAGCAGTGCAATCTATATACCATACTCTGCCACATGTTGAGTCTCCCAGAAGAAGACTGCAGTGACTTTGGGCCGTGTTTTTCAGCCCTACACTCCTCTGAAGTATTTGCACATCGGACGCAGATTTTCCTCATCTTCTGGTGCAAAATTTGAGGAACAATCCTGCACGGGGCAAGTTTTTCAACACGGAGCTCGGAATCGAGAAAGCGACTGTTGTTTTCCACACCGAGGCGATGTGGCTACGTCACGCCGGCGGTTTTTCCGTCTCCGTGACAGGGCGGTGCTTTTCCAGGTCTTCGGTCTTTGGGAGATCTGTTGGAGGGGAGGCTGTTTTCACCCATCCCCAAGACCTGCAGGTCGAGTTCAGACTTGAACCCTGCCATATCAGTACTGGTGGTCAGTAATAGGGAAGGACCGGGAAGGAGCCCAGGAGAATCCTTGCGCATCATCCCGTCAGCCAGGGAGTCCACAGCCTTTGGACATACCCAGACCCCTTCAGGTCGCATCCGTCAGCGGGGAAGCAGGCGACGAACAATTTCAAGAGGTCGAGGAAAGGACTCGTGGCAAGGTAGTTGAAAGAGGTGTGGTTCAAGCAGACACGACCAAGCAAATGTCAACATCTATACCCATTGCTGGTGCTAAGTAGTAATACCTAGACTAGAGTAATTAGGTGAAAAAACATGTGAAGCCAGGTGAACCAAGGCTCTTCCTGGTTTAGTTGAGATGAAGCTGACTATGGCAGGTTACTACTTGGATTTGTACCTGGATATTCAAGCGATGAAGCAGCTCACTCAGACCGGTCCTTTTAGGATGACTGGAGTCCCAACCATCCACTGATTTTGATCAAAACTCGGGTCGAACTGAGCAACCTTTGGCACATCGAAATATCATTAGCAATATGCGTTGCAAAAGAAAAAACAAACTTGGTCTTAAGTCTAAGTAGGGGACCTCTTTTCGCACTGGTCACATCGTCGTTTCGCTTTCTTTCTCATCACTGAATCGCACCCAGGATCTTTTGGGAGCATGGTGACATTTGGTTCTTCGTGAGCAACTTCGGGGGCATCGTGCCGGAGCACCGAGACGTCAGATGCGAAACCGGAGAGAGAAACCAGAGGAGGTGGATGGATGGAGAGGCAGAAACCGTATTTTGTGGGATTCCAACCACCTTGATTTGATGCTGGTCTTGACAAAAGATCCATCGTTCTATGAATGTTTGACTACAATACATAACCAGGTCTACTTGTTGTTGTTTTGTTTTTGAGTTGTTTCTTTCTTTTTTTTTAATGACCCATTAATTAATTGAACATGTTTGTATTAATTCATTGGACCAAACACGATCGACCAGTCTAAACATTTGGAACAGAGGCCAGGACTTTGAAGGGGTGGCTACGGAAAACCCCGCAACATCCAAGGAGTGATTAACTTTAATCACGGTTAATAGATTCTTCGAGACCCGAACCGGTCTCCTATGAAGTTTATGTTCAGAGCACTTGAACTTTGACCTCCACCAGGAAGACTCGAGCTCCCTTGGGAAAGGGTCGAAGGAGGTCTAAAGAGGTCCACGAATCACACACGGTAGAGGTCTACTGTATGCAGAGGTCTACGCTGGTACGTTTTGCTAGTCGTCCAGTCATCATTTCACCGTCTTCATGGTCATGCTTCGGTGGATGAGCAAAACATGGCAGAACATAGCAATTCTCCCAGACCATTGGACATCGGACCCTGGACTGAAGTTTTGTGACAAGTACATTTTACCATCATTGACCCCCATTCTATGACCCTGCCAGGGGTTCACTTCATTTGCATCGACTCCTCCGGAGCCTCCACTCTCGGCCCAAGCGACTCCGGTGCCGTGGGGGCCCGGCGGTCCAGACGCGTGGCACGCCCAGGCGCGAAGACGCGCGGCGCGCGCGCCCGCGCGCGAATCGAAGGCGAGCGGGATGAAGACGGACAGAAAGAGCGTCGGTTTTTCGAGGGGCGATCCCTTGAAGCCTCCCTTCAAGCCTCTGAGTTGGCATGCTGGGAGGTGAATTGACGCATTTGGATGCAGTTGGGTGATCTCTGGTGTTGAACATGAGCTGAAGATGAATGATTGAACAGTTGAACGGTGAGTGAGTGTGGGGTAAAGGGGCAAACATGCTGTGGACGTCATGTTCTTTGTCTATTGTGGTTTCATGCACCTTTAAAGCAACAGGTTGCTTGTTGATGCTTTTGCCAATGCTTATCAACCCGGGAAGTATCCGGTTTTATCGATATTTATGAATTAAGATGGTGCGAAATGCACTGTTCACTCTCACAGCCAACCTGTCGTCCAACTTATTCAACCGACCCTGGGCGACGCCCAGGCATCGGTGGAAGACAGACGATTCGATGCTCCGGCGACTGGTGCTTCTCTGCAGCTGGCGCTTGGCGCTCACCAGTGTGTGCGTGGCGGAACTGAAGGCACCCGGTCTGCCACTTGGGCTTCTAGTTGTTGTTTCGATGTTTGGCGCGCGCGCGATGCTTGGACGTGTGTGATGCTTTTTGTATCCCAACTTGGCAACGAAACACGCGAAAGATCTATACATGGGTTGGAGGGTGTCCGTTGGATTTTAGAGGTTCACCAGTGCGCACTCCATTCCAACCCTCTTCACGGACGAGGCAAGGATCATGCCGAGAAGCGGGCCAAGATGAAAGTATGCACGATGCCGACGAGGAGGTGAAGAAACAGATCAAGGTGCCTTCCTTCACTTGTCGTACACCCTGGCAGTGGGTTCTCACTGCCAGGAATCCAGTTCCTGGGGACTAGAACATCCACTCAGCCCCATACGGAGCTCCAGGCACAATAGATGGTATACCTAGCGATGTACCTGGATCATCCATTCCAGTCACCAATAGTCACTACATACGGAGCTCCAGGCTCCCAGAACGGATGATCCTATTTTGCTGTGGTGAATTGCTTTGATTCCTTCGACTCTGTGAACTCTTCTGTGGGGCATGCGTCACATTCCGCACTTGGCGCACGGAATGAATGGAACATATGATATAAACCATAAACCAGCATTCCAAAAGGGTAACCAATTGAACCATTCGGTAAACCCCCTTTGCGCGATCCTGCGCGTGAGCCAACACTGTGGTCGCGCAAGGGCTGCGCAAGCTTTGGCGTAAGCCCGACGTTGTAAGATCGTTGTTGAGTTATTGGGATATCGAGGGGCGTAAGCAACACCTCCATTGCCGTAAGGTTGTGTCAGCAGTGGAGCTCCCCTGATCATGTCATCCCCATAAGCTTCCAACCTAATAGCCTTTAAAAGGCCCAACATCATTGTTTTCAAACTGCTGAAGTTCACTGTCCTGATACCTAACCAGCCCTTTGGTCCGCGAATCCTCAACCTGTCCACCGGTCCACCGTGGTGGTCCACCGGTCCGACGATCGAGCCCGGATCGAGCCCGGATCGAGCCCGGACCGACTCGTCCGAGTCTCGGAGGCGGAAGTGCAGTGCATCTCGGAGATCGTGGCCAACGGCTACACCATCCGAGCCTCGGACGGTGCGGACGAGGACCTGGGGGGACCTGACGGTGCGATCCCATCGTGCCGTGTGGGAAGATGGTGACTCCCATGGAGAGTGTGTCAAAGATGTGCTGTAGAATCAGGTCCTTTCACTCTTCCAGTTTCCTTGGACTGTAACTGACTACCCCAAGAATCCTCAACATACAATCCCTTAGCTTGGCTGGTAAGGCCGGGAAGAATAGAATGAGTGCTTTGCATTGCATGTGTTTCGAGGTGTACTTTGGAATGTATTTCGTTGTGACGGTTGAATTTACCGTCACACGAGGAATGTCGGTCAGGAAGCCAGGCTGACAGCAATCCAGGGGAGGCAACAGCTTCATGCTTCATATGCCATGGCAGCTCAGTTAGCTTCGATGGCGCGAGCTCAGTTCGCGACGACTGTCGGTCACTCTTCAGGTCGCACTTCTTGTTGATGTGCAGACCGGGCGTGAAACGCCCGCGTGCCCGCAGAGGCGGTCGTAGCGCTCCGGGTCCCAGTCGTGCGGATCGATGGGTCCAAACGAGGTGATGGACAGAAAGCTGGCATACACTGGCCCGCAGGACGGTCTAGCGGCCCGCAGGAGATTATCAGATCATCTTAACTATAAGCTGCTAAGGATCTTTTTCTAGGAACAGTCAGGCATCTTCTGTGTCATTGACGCATTGCGAATAATTACATGCTTCCCAGCAAATATTGGTCATGGTCGGTGTGAAGGGAGGAAGATTCGGGGGTTGGGCAGCAGTGGCTCCTCGCCACCAACACATCCACCTGCGCCAAAGGCCGCATGGAGGCGGAGGGATGGTGGACAGGATTGGGAGGAAGCAGGTCAATCTCAAGGGGACAGGTATGGACATGTATGGACAGGTTATTTTCATTTGGCGCCTCTTGCGACTCCTCATGCCGTTTGTTGCAAAGACATTGGATGACCGCGTGGTTGTGAATGTCAAGGGAAAACAAGGAGAGTCTCATCCTGATTAGTGCAAGGCAAGGCCTTTTTAAGGTGCAGCTTCTGAGACATTGGCTGTGCGTTACACACGGGCTTGTGACACCACGTGACACCTACAGTTGCAAGTTTTACCGCCTCTTCTACGGCGGTGCGGTCAGAATTCCACAAGCCATTGAGAATAACGTCCGGTGCTTTATCATTCCACTTCCGGTGGGTGCGCCTTTTTCCTGTGAGGGCCACCAATCGGCCCGTCTTTTGATGGCCACGAGATGTCCGGAGGTGCAGGGCGGTGCGCACGCGTGCGTTGGAAGAATCTTTGATGAAGTGAAGTCCACTTCTAGAATTTGTCAACGCGATTTACTTGGTGGTTGGCCTGCGGTTATGCAGCATATGCAGCTTGCATGTAGTCATAACGTGTTACAACCTAGTTGTAGTAGTTTTTGAGTTGTTGAATCAACTAACATCAATTAAATCTAACCGTGCAAACTACAGCAACAAAGCTAAGTTTTAAACTGCCTAGGTATATTTTAGTAAGGTGGTTGTCTGTTTGGTGGACTTGGTGCAGTGCTGTTCCCAACTTCTCACACATGTTAAGAAGTCGATCTTAATCAACCTGTAAGTAACCTGAAACTATCTTGGTAGGTGTTTCAAACCAAAAAAGATATGTGCAGAAATTTGAATTCCGTGCAAAGCCGTGCGAAGCCGTGGACATCTTGAAAGAAGGATGCGTGTGCTGCAGTTCTGCAAAGCGGATGGAGATGCCACATAAATAGGAATCGAAGTGAAGATGTGCGCTTTGAGCCGATAGGTATTGAGCCACGTTTTTCTTTATTATCTGGCATCTTAATATACAAGAAAAACTGACCTTGTGGTTGCGGCAAACATATGCAGGTCATTATGGATTTTGGCAGTTGCGTGATTGGCTCGAAGGTCGGTAATGTGTTTTTCTGGACAGTAATTACACTCTTTCAGGAGTCCAGTTTGAGTGTACCACGAGATGCATCACCTACGACTCTGAAAGCCTTCATCTTTCGCCGGCCGTCCGCGGTGTCGACCTGAGGATCGCTGGAAGGACATGGCCCCATGGATGCCATCGCTACGCCGGTGAATGGAACCTGTTCCAATGGAGAGTTCGAAGAAAAATATACACCAGTGACTGGGGTCAGATTGGCCGATCTTCGGGGATGGTGACTGGGGTGGAAGTAGACGGCAGTCCTCTCCGTGTGGACCACATGGCGACCTGAGGAATACTGCCATGGCAAGAATAGTCGTAAGGTCTGGAGCTGTAGGCCTACATCCTAGGATCCATGGGGTGAGTTTGGCGCCTGTCAAGTTTTGTGGTGGTACCCAAGATGCAACAGTGTTTAGGAAAGCACTGTAGACATGTAGTTTTGACGTATTATGACACCATTGTTATATGTACTCTGATTCCAAACACAATACCTTGGTTGAGACCCCTGAACTGGTGGACTTAGAGTTGCGGCGCCACCCCATCCTGGGCAGAACAGTTTATTGTGCTAAGGCCATGTTATGTATTGTATACCAGACAAGATTGGTCGTTGATGGACAAAAAAACCTTGGTCTTGAAACTTGCA